CAGACTTTTCTAGACAGCAGAGAGGGGGCTGGAAGGGGCCGTGGCTCTTTCACAGGCACCAAAGTCAGCAAACGGTATTCCAAGGCATTTAGCACCCAGGACTCACCACTTCCAGCCTCCTCATGCCAGGATGAAGTTACATGTCACAACTTGTGTTGAACGTCCTCCCACGTCCCACCATCTTGCACTGATGAGAGCACTGATCTAAACCTTCACTAAGCCTAGTCACCTGTTAGGAAACAAAGTAAAATTAGAAAGCAAATGGTTTCCTGCCGGGTTAGGGAGTTGAACTGGCTCCCCATGTGGTCAGAGGAGAGTCACACCCAGTGATGCTTCTCGTGGGGCAGGACCGCACGGCCTTCGGCAAGGACAGAGGAGATGGGGTGGGACCATCTGCTGTCAGGAGTGACTAGGTGTTGTGTTTACTCAGCCATTCGTGCACTACTTCAATGTGAGCGTTTGACTACGAAGCTAATTGCTCTTCAGGTAGAGGAGCTACCTGAATGCCCTGTGCAAGGTCTATGGCAGAGGTGTGAACAGGACCTACTGCTAACGCGCCAATCTTGGCTCTTACTGAAAGCACATCCTTCATCCTCTGGCCTCTGAATGAAACTGAGGAGTGGAAATCTTTGACCTGAGAATCACTGTCGCTCTTAGGTTGTTGCAATGGTTTAAACTTTCAAAGGAGACTTTATATGGTTTTCACTTCCCCTCTGCTTTAGCATGGAATGGCCCTTTTTAACCTGAAAAAAAAAGAATTCTGATTTATTTTGTAGTATTCTGCTGATTACTCAACCTCTTGTAATTTAGCAGAGCCTTACTAGAAGCTAAGAAAAGCTCTAGGCCATAGTGGCCTGGTGGGAAATGCACATTGAGAAATATCCTGTTAACCCTGATGACACCTGACTTAAGGCTCTCTTGGGTGCAGCGCACAAACGACATGTCCCCTTTCAGCACCAGCTAACTTTGGGTCATAGCTGCAGCACACCTCACTGCACAGTCAATGATCAGGTCATTTCCACATTGGAAAAACAGGTCTGTGGCACAGGCAGCTGCAGTACAACCAGGGCAAGTCCCATTCAACAGAGCAACACCAGATTAATTTCTGAGCAGCTCTCATGCTGGAGCCGACTCCTCTCCATATGTTTATACTGCAAAAAAATCCCAAGAGGTATTCAGGATATTTCCCAAAGAAATCAAGGATCCGTGACCAGTCTGCCCAGCTCTTACCACTTTCGAATTTATTAGCAAAATCCAACCAAATGTGACAGCAGGATCTGGTCCTACACAGTCTGTGAAAGCTGGTGAGCACTGTCTTCACTGAGGGGAAGGCGACAGCAGGCACAAAGCATTACCAGTTTTGCTGGGCCCACCAGCTGGTACCCTACAGCTGGCCACAGCACAGTCTGCCTCTTGCCTGCATGAGGGAACAATAGGGGCAGGAAGGACTGAAGGTGGGTCAGGGCCCAAGAAGATGTTCAGTGGGAGGCATGGGCACAAGAAAACCAGATCACAATCGCTCTGCCCTTCATTATACAACTTGTTTCTTTCTTCACAAATAATAATAGGGTCAGAAGAGTGCCCTCACTTACAGGAAGTTCACACCTTATTTCAATGTCACTGGAACAGTGGAGGAGCTATCAGTGAAGGAGAATCAGGAGAAAATGGAGTTGTGGCAAACTGACAAGCAGACAAGTTTGACAGAAGACTCAAGATTGGTGAAGGCAGCCAGTAGGCTGAAAAAGATGAAAGCTATCCTTGGGATTTGGCCAGAAATGTTGGACACCTTTCCAGCTTTGTGACCCGACATCTGTAACAACGATGTCAAGAGATGCTTGAGAAGCACCAAAAATGGGAACATCAGTAGTCTGGAAGGAGGAGAGCTTGGCACTGCCTTCATCAGCCCTACCTGTCCTCAGCGGGAAGCTGGAAGCAGCAGCACTCAGAACAAGCCCTCATCTCTCAAAACAGGGAGGTGGTGAGCCATCCTTGACTGGAAAGAGACAAAGTCCTCTACACTGCCTGTGAGCCACTGCCAGGAGATGTCTTCACATGACATTCCAGATGGTCAGTGCACCCTTCTGAATCATCTCCTGCACGGGAGGGCCAAGAAGCCCTGCTGAGCCAGCTTCTGCACTGCTTCTGTGACCATCTGGGGACAAACAAGACACAGAGCTACAAGTGCAGCTGTGTCACCAGTGTGGTTTGCCTCGTCTAAGAAAGGAGAGATACCCTAGCATTACACCTGACTCTAGAAGCACCCTACGTGGAGTGTTCCAGGCTGCAGGGCCCCTTCCAGGTCTTTCAGAGCCTCTTGTTCCTGCTGTGTTTTTCCTTCCAGCTACACTCTGAAAAACATAGGGGGTCAGTAGAGGGTAAGTCCTTGTTTTCCTGCCTCCCAAAGCCCATCCTCATGTTCACACACCCCACTCCCCCACCTTTTTTTTTTTTTTTTCCCAAACTTTGGAGACAGGCAATTTTATCACAAAGAGCTTTTGTTCTGAGAAAAATATCAATATTTACTGGTGCAGTTCTGTCAGCGCTGCATGTGCGCCTGTCTTGAAAATACCTTTTTTATATTAAGGACCCGTTGGTCTGAAGTAACATCAGATAGCCCAGCAGACGAACCGCATCTCCTAATCCACCACCTGACCAAGGCTGTTTGCCAACTGAGCACTGGAAGCCGTTCTTGGGAATGGCCGTTGGGGTCTAATGTGAGACTCCAGCAGATCAGTAGGATACATTCATTTGGCAAAGCATTCTGAGTAATGAATGCTGAGTGGCAAAGTCTGCTTGCAAATAATGGAAGGACACTCACACCTAACCCCCCCCAAAGTGACTAAGGTCATTAAATGTCTCTTCTGCACGTGACTCTTCTTACAGCTATCCTCATGCACAGCTCTCTTTGACCAAACACAGAGTGGTAGCCAGTCAATACTTTATAATCCCTGGGACTGACTGAGCCTTCAAGTCTAACAAAAAGAAAAAAATCAATCTAAGGGCCTGACCCTGTCAGGATTAGTACCCCATGATGCCCCAAAACTGCTCTCCCCACGTCAAACGTAGGGCTCAGCCCAAACTCACTGCAGCTCCCTGGAGGGTTTATGTGTTCGCTGGTGTAATTCTCACAAACAGCTTCTTGGAAAATGTCAGCGACGGGTTGTGTAAGGGATGCCCAACACAAAGAGAAAACACATTCCTCTGTCTGAGAGGACTAAGATGTTTTTAGATAGAAATTATGTGCCTAGAAGGTAGTGCTGTCCTTATGTGTTCCCTCCGCAATACAGCATGGAAGCTCTGCGAAAAAACAATGCACATGTAGGGGGTGGGGGGCAAGAAACAGAAAGACACAGAAAATGAGGTATTTTGTTTTACACCACTCTCTGCACTGAGCAGTGACTCCACACATACCACGGACAAGAATGAGTTACTGTTTGTTCCATTAAAGGTTAACTCAAATTAAACTTTCACTTTGAAATTTCAGAGTCAGCAATTTGGAGACTTAAATTGCCTAACTTGGAGATTTAAACTGCGTAACCTTCCCCTGTTTGTTTGACAGCCCTTTCTGGTTGATTAATGGAAAGCTATAAACAGCATTTGCATAAGGATATCTATCTCCTTTGCTGGGAAGAAGAGGTCCCAAAACTGGCTTTGTAAGAGGAACAAACAATAAATGAAAGTCTTCCAAGTCTGAGCAGGCAAACAGACAGCACAGGTTTCTACTATTTACAAGCCAGCTATCATCAGCCAGAAAGCAAGAACCAGTCCTTACTGTTGACACTGGAGCAGCATTCCTGTCCCCAAGTGACCAACAGTCAGACCTTTGTCCCCAGCTCCCCAGGCAGTATTAGGAGCCCCTAGCAACACACCCCTACTAGCAAGGTTACCCCCAGGGCAGCAGTGTTCCCAGTCTCAAGGACATGAACGTGTTTTGCAAAGGAAGGTACCCAGGGCCCTGCTTCACCCAGGCAAGCAGCAGGTTAGCAGTTACCCTTCCAAGGAAAGCGCCTCTCCCTCCTCATCACAGATGCCAGTTCCCCAGCTATGGGTTGACAGCATGTGTACAAGGCAAGGAGATACATCCCTCTGCCCCTGTGGAAAATGGGACAAGCCCTCCTCGCCAAGACTGCACAAGCCAAATCCAGCAGTTTTGCTGTATTCTCTCTCTGCTGCTCTTCCCTAGCTGCCCCAGTTCAGGACACCTGCAAACCCGCGCCTATGGTCCTACTGATGCTCAGACTATCCCCAAATCTTCCCTTGGTGAGCTGGGTGCTCTCCTGGCTCCCATACCACACCCAGCAGCCTCATGTCCCACACCATCTCCATGGCGAACATACCGACTGAGTGAATGACATTCTAATTCCTGTTTCCATCGGTGCCATGGGTTTTCCTTGGATTTCATTCAGAAATTATTCATTCATTCATTCATTCACTAACCCATCTCACTCTCACTTTGCAGGAAAGGAGTAATGAAACTACAGCTCACCTGGAGAAAAAAAAAAAAAACAAAAACACAACAACAAAAAACCAGTTGCAAACACAACAGCAGCTCCCAGGAGCGTGACTGCTATATGCACGCATGTAAGGCCAGAATCCAGCCGCACATCTGATGCGGAGGCAGAAGCCATATTCAGGCTGCCAAGCCTTTCCAAGGCACGAACACAAACCCTTTGGAATGTGCCCAAACAAGCAGCCTTGGCCTCTTCAAGATTGTCAATCCTGCAGAATGAGACACATCTTGACCCTCCTGTGAGGTAACTGCTCAGACTGAGTTTCCCCTTAGAGCCTGACCCCACAGGCCTTGAGTCCTTGAAAGCGTAGGCACCAGTACAATGCCCAGTGTTTGCTCCTGTTCAGGCACAAAACAACTTTGCATACACAGTCCTGGGTGGAATATAAGGCACAATTTTATTTTCCCTCATTCCTCTTTCTCAGTTCACACGCATCACGATGTTTCCTGACAGCGAGGCTATGCAGTGATTGCAGGCATCCTCATGGTTTGTGCTCACGCAGCAGCCAGCAGCATTGCCCTGAGCTCGCAGGAGCTAACCTGGCTGCTCAGAGTGCCACTGTCCTGAGCAAACTCCTCTGCGAGGTGTCGTTGGGTGGTCCACCCAAACACTCTGAGCTCTCCTTCACTTGTCCGCAGCACGACCAGTGGGGGCAGCCAGGGTGACCTTTGTGTCCATGGCCACAGCCTTGGTACCCACCTGCAAGAAAAGAGGCACCATCAGCTGAATCAAAAGTGGGCCAGAAAATCCCAGTGTGTCAGAGCGTGCTTCAGACCCAGGACTTGTCTAAGACAGGGAGGCACATGCTGATGAGATCACAGCTTATTCAAGGCCAAAATTGCCAGGGCTCCACAAAGAAAGAAGAACAACCGAGGGGGACCTTCCCGTTCCAATCTCTGGGGAAAGCTGAAGATTTCCGCCCCCTTGCCTGTTGAGTAATGCAAGACAGGCCTGCAGAACCCTGTGCCAGCCACCGGTGGCGATGGCCAGAGCTAGATGCAGGTCAAGCACAGAAAAAGGAAGAGGCTGGCTCTATACTAAAACATGCAAAACACACAATGACGCATGCAGGTCAAGGACAGGGAAGCTGGTTGGGATTAAACAAACAAGGGACTTGAACTCTCCTCCTAAATGAGGAGTGAGGCTTCTTCACAGGACAGCATTGGGCATCGTGTGACATAGCCCGGAAGCTCCCAACCTGCCAGCACTGGAACAGGGACAGTATAGACCCAGTGCTGCTTAGCCTCCTTGAGAAGGGCTGAAAGACAGAGCTGCCCTGCCCCATCTCCTGCAAAGCTGGCTCGGGTCTCTGTCTATGGGGTGCGCTGCAAAGACCTTTAGCATGTCCTGCTGCATTTCTCACCGTTGCAGTCCCATCCAACCAGAAGATACGCACACACAGGTTATCACAGGCCTGGTGCACATGCAAGGCAGAGTTGGGCTGGAGTATCTACTCACACCTATCTACAGTGAGGAGGAGCAAATGCAACAAACCTTCCTGATGCCAGCAACATGGGGAAAGCTGAGCACCCACCTGGCATGGTCCCGCCACAGGCGCAGCGAGCAGCTTTCTGCCCTCCGCTTGAGCAGAAAGCGCAGCAGTGAAACACACCTTGGTGCTCGCAGAACTTGTTTTTCACCGTCAGAGTGAACGGAGAGCCCTGCAGAGGGCAAGCAAAAAGAGAGGCTGCTGCAGTGGGTGCTATCACCTGTGGTGTCTGCATTTTCAGAAACCAACTGGGTGATCAGGTCAGTCACAGATCACTAAGCCCAGTCTCAAACTGCGAAGTGGTAGAGGTGATCCTTAGAAAGATTTAAAGCAAATCCTTAGAAAAGAAAAGCAGGTAAAGAAGCAGCAGCGCAAGAGAAACAAGAAATGCTACCTGTACATGCTGCCCTTTCACAGAGACGCAGACAGCGTACAAGCCTGGCTCCTCAGGGCTGTAGGAAATATGGTAGGTCCCATCACTGTTATCACACACTGTTGGCTTGACTGTACTACAAACAGAGAGAAGTCCAAGAGGTCAGTGAGTGGCAGAAAATTGCTCTACATGTGAACCACTGTTTGCCCTAGATTTGTAGTCGGCTCCTTATCCTTAGCCTTGCTCAGCAGCTGTGGGTCTCAAGCGAGCTTAACAGGATGCATGAGCAGTCCTCAAGCACCGAGTAGCTCTCACACACACCTGCTGCTGGGAGCAGCAATAACCATACAAAGGAAGTCACACAGAGCTAGCTGCACTGCAAGGATTTGTAGCAACCCTGAGTGCTGAAAGAGCAGAATATGGCACAGAACACTTGCAGGTCAGATTATCCCATCAGATAAGAGCCCTCAGAAATGGGATAAATCCACAGCTTCAGACAGAAGCTACCTGCAGAAGATCCCATTAATAAGACAGGACATAAACCGGGCAGGTTTGACTTGCTTCAACCACCGTCACAAATGCATTGACCCCAACTCTTCTCTTCAGTGCTCTGAGGAGTTCTAGATCCCTGCTGGTGAACTCTCCCTTTCCAAAGGGAAGCTCACTGGGTTTCACAAGGAATGCTGGTGGGCAGAGCACCAGGGAGAAAGCATCAGCTAGTTACTTGGGGACTGATGACCTGCTTCACAGAACGATGTAAAGAGCTTGCCACAGACAGTTCTCAGGCAGCTCTGCACAGAGGAAGGTGTTCTTCCTAATCCTCGCTAATTAGTCTCTTGTGCCCCATGGCATGGCAGTTTACAATCTTCCAGATTTGCAGGCTGTATTCCCTACCCCCCACCATTTCACATCAATACAGCTGCCTACATCATTTCCTGCCGTGAACTGTATGGTGATACTTCATGCTCTTCTGTAGCTGCTGTGCCTCAACCCAAAGCCAGACGGCTTTCAGTAACGGATGTAGCAACTGCATACACGCAAGAAGAAGAAATTGAGTTAATGAGGCCACAGCGACCTCTACCCCACTAAGCAAAATCCACATAAACCTCATGTGCACACCCTCCTGTGCCGTATGTGCACCTAAGGAAGGAAGGCACACTGGGAAAATATTTTTGAACAATGAGGCTCTATTGATAAGCCTCTGTGCAGCCAGCACTGCTTCTGTACGCCTTGTCAACACTCCCCCATAGGAAGGAGTTTTAGCGTCCTGTCCCTTTTTCCATCAGGCCATCCCACCACTAGCGTTCCTGGAACAAGTTACTTTGTCATCTTGCTCCAGCTACATTGTGGGTACTATAAAACAGAATAGATGTTTTCCCAAGAACTGACCCCCCCGTTGGTTCTGCATTTGTGCCTGCATGCTTTACAGTAACAAGTACGGCCTGGAAACAGTTACAAAAATTATTTTTTTCTGGTTGGTCATTTTTATCCTGGAAACACTTAGGAACTCAAGTGCAGTCTTCCCTGCTCTTGCTAGAAAACTTCCAAACATGTTAAAGGGCTCAACACTTGCAACTATAGGAGAAAGCACAACGAACTCCCAACGCAGATTCTTTCTTCTGAACATGAACTTCCATCAACTGTCAGAGACTCCTGGGCTTGGTGGGCTGTCTGTCTGATTCAGGACAGTCATTCTGGGGTTGCTACGTTCTAAATAAAAGCAGGAACCCTGGGTGTCTACTGGTAGGGGTGGGAAGCAGCAACAGCTCACTCTGACAATGTGTAACACTCACTGAGAACTGAATCCTTTAAGAAGTCCAAAATCTCTCAAAGACTTGATACAAATCTGAGGCAAAACTGTCAAGCTCCACACAGCCAAATACAACCAGTAAGAAGCACTGCTATACCGGTGGGAAGAACAGTAGTGCCTTTTCCCCTACAGATTCTGACCTACATGCTGAAGTACATCCTCCCACCTGCCCAAACACGGAGGGAGCCAGAGTAAGGGAGGGAGAAAGACAAACCCAGTGACCAGGGAGTTCTCAGGTGAAGTACTCACCAGTCCCTCTTGTCCTTGTGGGTGATGCTGACCCGCACAGTCTCTCCTCCTCGCCGCACCCGCTCCCCCATGGTGTCATTGCAGAGCAGGGTAAAGCCAGTCAGCTGATTCTGACGGGCACTGTGGAGATCTGCAAGGCAGAGAAACAGGACCAGAAAGGACTCATAGCAGCCATGACTGCCACCTTCCACCTAGCTGGCAGCGTTGCAGTCCCATCAGAGCAGAGACAGGACTTTGCTGCTGCAGTGTACAGCTCCTTCCACTCACAGGCAGAAATAAATATATGATCTACTGTGACTGGGGATCAGGAGAGAGTACACAGCCATATGTTGGGCAGGCTTAGCCTGGAGGTCTGTACGGACCAAGGTGGTCTTCCTGCCTGCCCCTCTGAGCCCAGATGGTTTCTTCCCAGAAGGCCTCAAGGTGCACCATACAATCAGGAGGGAGGAGGAACAGCCCTACTGTGCCGTGTGGAGCCCCAGAGACCTCAGCACTTACAGTTTGGCATGGAAGGGATCGAATGAGCCCTGAGTCTGTCTCATCTGCCCTGCGCAGGCCATTACTGACCAGAGCTGGCTGTGCTCTGTGGGCTGGTCTGAATGCTACCTGTTTGGTGGCCCTGCTGCAAGTCACTAGTAAGCAAATATCCATTAAACCACTGATGCCAGTTATTCCCATGGCAATCTCAGCAGAAGCTGTAAGGGGAATTAACCTACTCACTCTGCCTCGGAGGGGATCTGCCTAGGCCCACACTGCAGAATAGCTGGGGCCACTGGGAGAACATCAGGTCCTGCCATTGCAGGTGCCATTCCCATCCCCTGACTGAGCTGTGGTCTCTGGCCTAAGGGTTGCTCTCCTCGCGCCTCAGCCCCACTCCGAGGTCAGTGTTGTTGCAGAGGGCAGCTGCAGTATGCTCTGTACATCTGGATGGGGATAGCCCTCAAGGACTGGCACGTTCCCATTCAGCTGTTGTATATCACCCCATTACCTTCCCCATGCAGGGTACATCTAGCTGGATCAATCACTCTATTGAGAATGGCCCCAAAAACTTCATAGCCACAACACTGCCCTGCCCTCTCCTGGGCAGAGAACTGGATCCCGTCGTCCACGCTGGGGTGAGTGTTGTAAGCAGCACTGTTCAGCTTTGCCAGCCGGCTCGCCACCACCCCTTTGGTGATGAGGATCTCCAGGTCCGAGCCGCTTGTCAGCAAGCGCTCCGTGAACTCCACGCCTGTCCTCATGTCCAGCAGCAGCTGCTGCAGCTGGGCCTTCTGCAAGTGCAGCAGGTTTTCCTTCTGCACCTTCAAGGCCTCCAGCTGCTTCAGCAGCTGGTCCCGGTGCTCTTCAATGGCTTTCACATACCCACTGGCAAACAGACAGATCTCTGTGGCCACAGCCTCTGCACGTCCACGGACGGCACTGCCCATGTCATCAATCTGGCCCAGCACATCCTCTAGGGTGCCCATGTGCTGCTGGGTTTTTTTCAGCAGCTCCCGCAGGGTGTCCCCGTGCCTGTGGATGACATTGCCGGTGAAGTCATAGGGGTGCTGCCTGTGTCTCTCTACAATGCAATCCCGGCAAACAGGCTGGTCACACTGCTCGCAGAACAGCCTTAGCTCCTCTGTGGGATGGAAAGGACAGAAGAGAGGCTTCCCGGCCTGGCTGCAATCCTTGGTATTCTCCAGCTCCACCACTGCGTGAGAGGCTGTCTTCTTCTGTCTCCTAGAAGGGAGCGACCACATGTCACTTTATGCATGTTGGATATGAAATGCAAACATTTGAGATCCCTTGCAAACGCCAGTCTGTACGGACTGCAAGTCACAGTGTGCGCCACTCCCTCCTGTCTCCACTGAAATCCACTCTGCATGAAGGGACTTGTGGTCTCCTGAGGACAAGGCTCCACACAAAAGGGGGCAGCATCTGCCAGCAGCTCATTGGAGGCTGCTCGCAGGCTGCCTGCATGCTGTCAGCACTATTTTCAGACACAAGAATCGTGTGCCCCGCCATGGCCACATGCAGACCAGGGAATGGGGTGTCAGGCTGCTACTGCCTGACAGAAGCGGGATAGTTGCAATTACCCCCAGAGCCTGCTGTGGAGGAGGGTGGTGAGCCCTGCAAAGTGAGAGCTGTCAGGAGGTGTCTCAAAACAGAATTGCTCACCAACAGTCCTTTCTGCAGAGGAATGGAAGGTGCCAGGCTCCTCAGTCATCAGCCCAGTGATTTTCACCAGCTTTAAATTGCTGAGGCAAATGAGCTCTAACATCCCTTAAGGGAAAATCTAGTTCAGGCCACTGCCAGAAGACCATCTGTGGTAAAACATTTAATATTCTGAAAGTCGAACTCCATTTCCTTCTGGCCACCAGGTTAGGTCCTGGTGGAGGACCTTGAGGAGACCAAGGATGGGACACAAAGAACCTGTTATGACCCAGACATTTACCATGTCACAGGTCAGCACTGGAATATTTCCATTTTATGCTGTTTTGGACACTGGGAGCTAGTTATTGAGCAGGATGTAAATGCCTTCTCTCCTTCCTTGTCTCCTGCACTAATGACTTCTGGCAGTTGCGACGGGAGCTCCAAGTCACAAGCAAAGAAATGCTCCAAGGACCAAGCTCTGTAGAGTAGCTCTGGCAACACAAAGCAACCTCCTCACAGGGCAGAACATGGCCCTTACACTACTCCTTTCACTTCCCATTAATCGCCGTTGGGTCCAGCACATTTCCAAAGCCTTCTAGCATTATTTGCATAAGACCCTTCAAAGTCACACTTCCCTGACTTCAACCTAAGACATCTCTCACTTATTCCAAGGAGCACAACAGTGGCACTCAGATCCTTAGCAATCTTCCCTACGCACCAGGAAACCATTTCAAAATGGTTTTCCTTTGCTGTTGTTCTGCTCTGCTATCAACTAAATCAGGTGCACATCTGCAGCAAGTCTTACACATATGGGGTGAAAATATTGTATCAGAAAATGTAAGAAGCAGGTCATCAGGACAAATTTTCTACTGCTTTATACTTTCTGCAGTTCTTTCTGTCAGTGCAGTAGGTTGCTATTCAAGGTCTCAGTTTATCACTCTTCAGCAGCTTGCATGGGATATGAGGCATTAGCTAATCAGAATGGTATGCTGAAAATTACAGTGGAAAGGTAACTAAGAGCCTAAGCCATTTTACCAGAGGCACCAGTATCTGCAGGGGGGCAGGGCAGCAGGGAATATGCCTGTTCTTTCTGGGGAAAGAATTTGCTATTCAAGTGGAAAGGAGCAGCAAATGTGGAGAGAATAGGCTGAGCTGATTAACCCAGGCTAACAGGCTTCCCTGGTTAGTGTTACTGGGTGTTTTTCTGACCCTGCCTGTCACCTCCTTGCTTCAGAAGGCAGTTCAGACTTCCTATCGCTTTTCTGTCATGGGCTGCCTGTCCTTTGCCTTGCTCACTGGCCGCTGCAGCCGCCTCCTCTTCAGCTCCTTCCTCTGCTGCAGTCATCTCTTCCTCCTGCATCACTGACATGAACCTCTCCGAGGCACACAGCTCTCTTCTGCTGTCACTTCTTCAGTTTTCCCATGTTCCAACAGAACTAAACCCTGCAACATCAGGCATGCTGTGAAGCAAAAGCATTACTGCCGTAGGCTCCCAGAAACGCTGAAAGTGTACACAAGATACATGGACGCAACAATTAACTGGCAAGCACATGGGCTGCTCACTAGCAGGTAGCAACCACAGTAGGCAGGCTAGTGTCAGGACTTCTACTTCATAGAATCATCAGGTTGGAAAAGACCTCTAAGATCACCAGGTCCAACTGTCAACCCAAGACCACCATGCCCACTAAACCATGTCCCGATGTGCCACATCAACAAGTTTCTTGAACACCTCCAGGGATGGTGACTCCACCACTTCCCTGGGCAGCCTGTTCCAATGTTTCACCACTCCTTTCACTTATCTCCTTTCACTTCACCTAAGGGTGCCTTTGCACATACTCACAGTAAACGTTTCTGGAGGTGGAGAGAGGCAGACCAGCAGCTTATCCTCCCCATTTTCCCTTCAGAGATGAGCTTTCTCTGAAGCAGGACAGCACCACACATGAGGCTCTTGCCCTGCTGGTATCCTGCCCGCACCCACACTTGTTGGAGTATGGTCAGCCTCCCCACCCAGCGATGCTAAACTAGGAGGCAAACCAGCAAGCGGTTTGGACTTAATAGCCTCACCTGAACAGGCCTGACGAACTTAGCGCTAGCAGCTTGTGGTCCCCGCCTGAGTACAGGGCATCCTCCGGGCAGGATAAAAACCCGCTGGGGACTGAACTAACTGGAAAACATGCGGGTTTACCGTGGCTCCTTGCCCGCTGCACCCACGGACCCACCCATCCCCACGCTGCCCTCCAGCAGCCCGAGAGGAGAAGGCCGCCCCGCGCACCCCGAGGCGAGGTGGCCCCGTCCGGGCCGGGCCTCGCC